ACTTTTTTTTTTTTTTTTTTTTGTACATTATTTGTATGGATATTCGACATTTAAATATTACAATAATGACAGAAAACAGATTTTTAATAATAGAGAATTATACAAAAATAATAAATTTACAATTTTCGAATTTAAGTGTGAGATATTCAATATTAATGTTTGACTTAAGTCAAATGACAGTGTGGTCTAGTGGACGTTATTGTAACTATATGGACGACTTTGTTCAAACAAATGTAACGTAATGTTACAAATCTCAAATAAGCCGCCAAACGTAGTGAGTAACAGCATAGTGACAAAATAGGTACAAAAGTAAAATGGAGTCGAAAGTAAATTTAGGGATAAAGTCGTATTTTTAACTATGATTACAATACTTAATTTATTACTTTACTTGATATTACTTAAATACCTTTTTTTTTGACATTTAAAAATAAGATCCTAGCGTAACTCAAGTTATATAAACCACCTGTTTCGATGGTACCAAACCTTTATCAAATTACTCTTAATACTTATACTGAACTCAAACATTTGTCGTTCTATATTCATAATTTTATTCTCTATTGATATCTCTACAACTGATTGAACATCTCATATAAAGAATCTGTATAGTTCTTTTTATATCAATGATGACAAACTGTTCGTATAACAAAACGCTACGGGACCACTTTTTATGAAGTAAAGTAAAGAACGCCATTCAATTTTTGCTTAGTGACAGATAGAAAAAAGAGCTTTTTGCTTACTTGATAAATGAATAGTGTAACAGTTAAGTATAAGAAATGCCATGATGTTCGAACAATTTTCTAAAACTGATTGTGCTAAAAAGTAAAGAACCATTGATAGATTTTGCCATCAATCACGTTTCAATCTTTACAAAATGAATAACGCATTCCAATTTTTACCTTTCTATGAAACGTCACCAATTGTATTTCTACGTTTTTGTATATATTTTCCTCTGCAGAATATTGAATTTATTGCTTATTGCTTAAAGAAGACTTAATGAATTTATGTTATCAATTTTTATTTATCCAAGCACTGAAATAATAATTATACAGAGGTTGACGATGAAAACGTAAAATAGAGTGTAATTAAATTGTAAATCGATTGTTCTTACACAAAAGAAAAAATAACTTCAATACATTGTTGATTGTATTACAACATTTATTCAAACACAGAAGAAAAGAGAAAGAACAATTGTGACAACCCAATATTGGTTTTTACTTCGTTTCAGAATTAATCATAATCCAGGGTATATTTTCAAAGACCCTTCTGCAATTCAAAAAGAAAATATCCAAAAACTACAAAGACAATATAGTTAGTATTCAAAATTAGCCAGATACGCTTCATCTCCAATTAGAGTACTTCGATAAACTTAAGCAAATTTACATAAAAAAAATTTTAATTTACATTGCAATTAGATGTTTAACTCGAGTATTTCCATTGTTTTTTTTTTTTTTATAAAGCTTAAAGTATTGATTTTATGAATTATTAATTTTCTCCTTCCGTAAAATTTTAAGAAAATAATAACTAATAATAAAATTAAAATGTACCTCAACATAGTACGTTCATCATAAATTTATAATACTATAGTAAACACCAAGAGTTATAATTTGATATAGGTTAAAAGTTGTTTAAAAAATATTTTCAACAATTGAGTTGAAAAAAATTGTGTCCGCGTTCAAAGTCTTCCTGTCAATAAGATTTTTATTTAATTTTCATATAAAGTATACCAGAAGAAAAATTCTTGTGTCTAATATATTATTTTTAATATCATTAATATCAGTGTATTTAAAAAGAAAGTTATAGCAGTTTTAAAATGCAGAACATATTTTTTTTTAATTGCCATGTTTACAATCGCGTAATTTTTGAGATATTTTATTAAATTTCTAAAACTGGGAAGAATGTTTGAAATTTTAGAGCTGAAAAATTCAGTTTAATTTTAATCGGGGTTATTTTTTGTATAAACAAACATAATTTTATAAGCTGAAAATATCATTAAAGCTTAAATAAATAACTAAAAAGTAATAAATAATTTCTTATACAACTTAATTAAATGATTTGTTGCTTGAAGTGCTTGAGGATATATCCATGTTTGCAGTTGAGTTCTGACGTTTCGGACTCATTGCAGAGTCCATCTTCAGAGTGAACTCTGAAATGAGTCCGAAACGTCAGAAATCAACTGCAAACATGGATTTATCCTCAAGCACTTCAAGCAACAAGACAATCCATGAAAGCTTTAACACATTCATGAATGATGTGTATCATTTGCTAATTCTTTTTTTTATTATTAGTGAAGATATAAACTGATAAAAACTGCTTTAGTAAAGCATAGTTGGAAGGAAAATTGTTTTAACAATTTGAAAGTATTGTCAACAATAATATAGAAACTCATTTAGCATTTAAGGAATACAGGAAAAACATTTAAATTATAAAAAAAATTAAAAACAGGAATTTATCTGTATTTTATCTAGGTAAAAGACAAATTATTTTATCCTTCATCTAGATATATTTTCCTCAAATTTCATTATCCCATTAAAATCTTAATTCAAATATCTATATTTAATATAGATAACTTTTTATTTATCTATTCTCAATACTGTTTATGAGATATAATAGATAAATATAGAAAATACTTCATGTTTGATAAATTGAGAAAAGTATATAAAGGATTTCAATCCAAAAATTTACCTATAGAATAATAAACTTGACATTTACTATAGTTTGTAAAAATAAATCAAATTTTAATTTGTAATTTTTATGAAAAACTACTATTTTCAAAAAATGGATGGAGTAGTGTATTTAATAAATGACACTGTATAAATATTTCACGAAATTTAATATCTATCTAAGACATTTAAATAAATTAAATTTCTATTGTTTTGACTTATGCTATTGTTTATGTATTTAAAAAAATATAATTGTTGAAGTATTTTTAACCCTTTTTAATACTAAAAATGGTAGTCTTTTTAAGAATTATTATTTTATAAAATCCTGATTTTAATTTTCAATAGAATAATAATTTATTTACCAATGTCACTAATTTTATGGTAAAGTCACTAAATTACGAACAATGTTAGTAAAGCTTTTATCCAAAATGTTTCAATTATTTTAAGTGTCTTAGAATAATTATAAGTTTTATGCTTTTAGACTGTAAGACTAAACACTTCACTTATAAAATATCAATATTCTGTATTAGACGTTTTAAACAGTTATGAAGTGGCTTTTAGTCATTTTTTTTGTGTGTAATTCAAAAGCTATCATAAAATGGTCATCGAACATAAAAAACACAGATTTTTTACTAGCAAACTGCGCCATTCGTTTACTTGATATTGGAAATCCTATGCGTAAAGTTGCATTCGTAAGTACTAGTTTAGAAGTTAATGATGAATTTCGGTCTATTCTTATACGTTATGCGAATTGGAACCATAAACCCGTAATTCTCTTACATAGTTTCCACGTGAGTTATTTTAATGAAAATCTAATATTGCAACCGAACGCTTATTTGATCGCAGCGCAAAACGTGTCTGACCTATTGAAACTTTTATGCACAGTCAATATCACGAGTACAT